CTCTGCAGCAACAGCAGCAGCAAAAGAGGAGCCATCATGTCTTCTTCTTGCTGCACCTACACCAGAAGAAAAGGATTTGCTGCGCAGCATTGCTTCCCTATGCTGCCGCTGCTGCTGCTGCTGCTGCTGCTGCTGCTGGTAGTAAGAAGAGAAGGCAGCTCTTGCTGTTGCTGCTGCTGCTTCTTCGTTATCCGAAGCAAAAGAAAAATCAGAAAAATCTGAATCCTGCTGCTGCTGCTGCTGCTGCTGCTGCTGCTGCTGCTGCTGCGGTATAGTATCCTCCCATCCATATGCAGAAGCCATGCTGCTGCTGTTGCTGCTGCTGCTGCTGCTGCTGCTGACGGAATCGCTGCTGCGGCGAGGGGCTAGAGAGGGACGTAGAACTGTCCCTGATCTCTGCTGCTGCTGCTGCTGTTGCTGCAGCAGCATCTGCATAGATCGTTGTTGAGCAGATCCTTTCTCTGCATTTGCTGCTGCTGCTGCTGCTGCTGCATTTGCTGCTGCTGCTGCTGCTGCTGCTTGTCTTGCTCTGTTATTAGAGGGACTATCATAAAGAAGAGAAGGAGACAGTTGGTGTTTATCTGTCTCCTCTTGTTGCGAGGAGACAGATAGTTGTGACGGCCTTAATGCCGTCATCCTCCTAAACCCTAAACCCTAAACCCTAAACCCTAAACCCTAGGAGGCCCTAAACCCTAAACCCTAGGAGACCTGTAAACCCTAATAGTGGAAGGTAAACCCTAAACCCTAAACCCTAATAAATCGTAAAACACACTGCTGATGGTCTGCTGCTGCTGCTGCTTCTTCTTCTGCTGCTGCTGTCGGCTGCGGTGTAGAGGAGGGAGGTCTGCTGCTGCTGCTCCTGCTGCTGCTGCTGCTTATATAAAGACAGCAAGGGTTTATATAAATAAAAAGAAATAAATAAATAAAAATAATTAAAAATAAATAAAAAAGATTTAGGTGTATACAAAGAAACAAAACAAGAAAAAAAAACAATAAAAAAAAACAGCGGCCTAGGGCCCCCCGTCTGCTGTCGGTGCTGCTGCTGCTGCTGCTGCTGCTGCTGCTGATTGTTTTGCAGCAGCAGCAGCAGCAGAAACTAAAGAAAATAGAAAATATATCTACAGTAATTATAAAATATTTATTTATTTAATTAATTATTTAATTATTTCTTTTATTTCTTTTATTATTTGCTGCTGCAGCAACTGCTGCACAGACTGGTCGCTGCAGCAGCCGTGCTGCGCTGCTCTTAACAGACCAGCAGCTACAGCAGCAGCAGCAGCAAAAACAGCAGCAGCTGCTGCTGCTGACTAAATTAGTTCCTTTTTATTTTTAGCTATTTTAATCTATTGTTTTTAATTCTAAAGGATTGAGGCTGCTGCTGCTGCTGTTGCTGCTGCTTCTGCTGCAGCAGCAGCAGCAGCAGCGAGCACACAAAAACATTGAGCTGCCTGTACACTCCAACCACCTCCTCGCAGCAAATGACGATATACTTAATAAAAAAGGCAATTAATTATAAAATACTATTTCTTATTTATTTTATTTATTTATATTAATTTAATTAATTTAATTAAAATATAACAGCAGCAGCAGCAGCAGCAGCAACAGTCCTTGCCGGTACACCGTAGAGGGGAAGGCTGCTGCTGCATACAAGATTACAAGCTGCTGCTGCTGTTGCTGCTGCAGCAGCAGCACTTCTTCCTCGCTGCAGCAGCAGCTGCTTCTGCAGTAAATTGCCTACAAGATCCCTGCATGCAGCCAAATCACTCTGCAGCAGCCCTTCCCTCCTTGCTGCTGCTGCTGCTGCTGCTACTGCTGCTGCTACTGCTGCTGCTGCTGCATGCGCGTATAAATAGGATAATAGCAGCAAAAAAGCATAATAATGAATAATAATAATAACTATTATTACATATTTATATATTATTTATTTATTTATTTATTTATTTATTTATTTATTTATTTATTTATTTATTTATTTATTATTAATTAATTAATTAATAAGAAGGGATAAAGATACGAATATAAATACTAAGACAACCCCCTATGGTGTCTTGTCTATAAAACTGTACCGCTGCTGCTGCTGCTGCTGCTGCTGCTGTTGCTGTTATTGCTGCTGCTGCTGTTGCTGTTATTGCTGCTGCTGCTTCTGCCGAAGGCAGCAGCAGCAGCAGTTAATATATTATTATTAATTAATACCTTGGGGGGCCCCACAAGAAGAACCCTATTATATATAAAAGGGTAAATAAATCTCCCTCTATATACAAAATATAAATAAGGGGGGGGCCCCCCCTTTATTAGGTAATAAACTACATGGAGGGGGGGGGCCCCCCAATTATTTCTCCTAAAAAATGCCCCAATAAGAATATAAGAGGGCCCCCCTCTGTTGTTATCCCCACACAAAGGGGGCCCCCTCGCTCGTACCCTCAAAGGGGCCCCCCCTATGCATGCATGCATGCAACAGAAGAAGGGGGCTTCCTATGCATGCACGCAACAGATGAGGGGC